TGGAGCACTGGGTGTTATGCACAAACAATGAATCATGGAACACTTCATCTAAAACTAATGATGTAATGTATGGGGATTAACATAAGAATAAAAATAAATAAATAAATAAATAACAAATTTTAGAATATCAAGCAGCAAGCTTTTCTAGAAGACCTTGGTTAGTTTCCCTTTATACACTTAAATTTCCCTTATGATTAACCATAAAACTAAAAGTTTTCTCTCTCAAGAAAAAGAGGAAATTAACAACTGCAAACATTAAACAAATTATACCAAGTTCTGTGGGCATCATTCTCAGGGAAAAGACACATTTCATATTTTGCAACAAATGGGGCATATAATGCTTACACACTTCTTGTAAGAACATTCTGGCAAAAATTAGCTTATAGTTTAATGCTGCTACTGGAAAAAACCTGCTCACTGAACCAGCTTCAAATAAAATGTTGGTTAGATATCATCAAAGTTTCATTTAAGACTCGATGGAAGCAATAAAAGGAGTCAACATCTCTCTACTTCAGAGCTCCTTCAAGACAGTTGGGGCAAAATCCTCTATCTGCACCCTTCATGTACCCCCAAAACAGGAAGAGGAAAAGAGACAGCCATCTGGACTTGCTCTGAAATAAGAAATTTCACAAGCAAAGACCTAAAACTAGTATGGGTACTATCCAGATGTTGTTTACCACAACTTTGAGTAGAGAATATAGGAGAAAAAGAAAAACCAGTTCATGGTGAAAGTCTATTCGTGAACTGAAACATGTACCTCATCGTTATGGAAGATACAAAAATAGGCATGTCAGGGAACAGGAGGTTCCCCTCATTTTATGAGTGCCTAAAATCACAGAACTCTGAGTTCATGCTTAATTTACAAGTTTAACAGGCCCCTGGGTGGCTCAGTCGATTAAGCATCTGCCTTAGGCTCAGGTCCTGATCCCAAGGTCCTGGGATAGAGTCCCACATCGGGATCCCCGCTCACCGGGAAGTCTACTCCTCCCTCTCCCTTGCGCTCGTGCCTGCTCTCTCTCAAATAAATATTTTTTAAAAAGAATAATAATTTCCCTTTAAAAAAATTTACAAGCTTAAGCACATAACTGCTTAACTCAGACCTATTAACTTCTTTCAACAAGTTGTACTCTGCTCTAGGCTGCACTGTACACCCTGCTCAGCTGAATGTTTCATGTGAGAGATCCACATAACTGTGCCAGGCCTAAACATCAGTTTGTCAATATACCTATAAAGAATCCAAAACACATGAGTATCTGGTGCCTGGGTGAACCACTGTCCCAGAACCTGGAGTACAAAATAGACTTTAATGTTCCCTGTGGATCACTTAGCTAGGAAAGAAGGTAGCAAAACTCTTAACACAAAGCATTAGGACAAAGGATGGTGAGTTACCAAAGGCTGAGTCTTAGTTGCACCACTAAATGTAGCAGTGTCTTTCAAAAGGATACTGAATTTGTGATGTGCCACTCACTCTAAGGAGAAGACAAATTGTTTCCTCATCAGTTTGCACTACTGAGCAAATGTCGTCAGTCCAATATACGTTGGAAGATCTATTCCTCGCTTATTTACAGCAATAACATAATATAGCATTTGTTTTGTACCTTTCTGAGCCTCAAGAAGAGCGCCACCATCCACCAAATACAGGACTAAGGCTTGAAGGAATACATACGGAATTTAAGGAGTACAAGCTCCCTAGACATTCATCAGCCTTACAGTTCTGTTTCTGCCTTTTTCCCTAAACTTGTGCCCAGAGCATCCTTCCAAATTCTAAGTTTCAAAGACCCACATTCCCCCTATTCACATCTCCTGTGGACATCCATCTCATCCTAATATCACTCCTCTAAGAGACATTTCCCGAGGAAGAATTTTGCTTAAAGCTTCAGTTCACTCCCTCATTCCATCCCCTCTCCCCCACAAAGGGCTCATGAAAGCAAAACGCCCCTCAGAAGGATGCAGGTGAAGCCCCTTTTAAGCCAAACTCCAGAGCTCAGTGGCGCAGCCCTTGTTAGGGGACGGCCGCCAGGCTGAATCCCCATCCCGGCAGACAGAAACCACAGCCCCTCCACTGAAGGACCCGCGCTGTCACCTACCTGCCCGAGACCTGCGGGCAAGACCTACCCGGAGGAACCCAGGTGGTTCCCGCGGCCGACAATTCCCGCCACGTGAAGGAGAGGCAGAAGGCGGGGCCGTGCCCCGCTGGCTGGCAGCGGCGAAACGCGGCGCCTACCTACTAGGGTGCAGCACCCCCGCCCTCAGCGCCTACAGCCGCCACCGCACGCTGAGGTCGGCCTGCAGAGCAAAAAACAACCTCAAGGCTCCTCCCTCTCCTCGTGCTCCCTACGTGCGGCCTCTCCAACCAATGGAAAGCGCAGGAGGCGGAGCGAGAGCCGCCCCAGGTGACAGGCGACCACCGAGTCCTCCCGCCGGCGCGAGCGGGCCGTGCAGTTGCTGGGCCAATCGGCAGTGTGGGTGGGGAGTGAAGGGGAGGGAGAAAGTGAGGAAAGCGGATGCCCAATCAGATCTTGGAGCCTTCGAGCGACGGGTCCTGTGGCCCGTGGCCTTCCGAGCGCGGCGCGCAGGGGGCGTGCCCGCCTGGGCCAATCGGCGCGAGTCCACGGTGCGGAGCGAGCGCCTCAAATGCTCGGCTTTCTCAGCTGATTGTCTCCAGCCGAGAGTTGTTTTTTGCAGCTACCGAGCCGAGCCGCAGCAGGAGGAGCCGAGACCCCCGGGGCGGGGGTGGGGGGAGGCGGGGAGAGGAGGCGGGGTCCGGGGAGCCGCGGC